TACGAAAATATTTGTGAACAGCCAGGCCAATGGATAATTTATTTCTTCCAAATCTTTTGTAGTGTTTGTTTGTTTGTTTTGCAGTGTTGGAGGTCAAATCCAGGCCTTGCTCCATACTAGCTAAGCTCTACCACTGAACTATACTCCCCACCTTGGATAACTGCTTTAGTGAATATTTGGGTTAAGGATAATTTCACCCATTATGGGCTAATTTTAATTTTTATGAAATGTGCTCTTTTTCATTGGAACTTTAGGCATATTAATTTGAATTTATGTAACATTTTTAGTTTAAAACTTTGCAAATAGTCATTCTGGTGGGCTGGTTAGAAACACTGCATCTTGGGGCCTGGAATTTAGCTCAGTGGTTCCGCTGCCTGCCTGGCAAGTGCGAGGACCCAAGTTCAATCCCTGGTACCAAAAAAAAGAAACACTGCATGTTGTACCTTCCATGAGGAGGATTCCATTTTGTCAGTCATTGTGAAACATAGAAAAAGAATTGGATGCATCATAAATCTTAGGGCAACAGAATAATTCTGAGTAGTTGCCTGTAAAAAAAATGCTTGTATTGTACAATATTAGCTTGATTCTTTTGGTGTAATTTCTAAAGGTAACCACAAGTAGCAAAAAAGAATTGTAACTCAAAGGCTTCTGCCCTAGCAGGTAACTAACGGGTAGGAAGTTACAAGCACAGATGCAGGTGGTGTTACAGGCCTGGCCAGTTCCGCAAATGAAACAGCCACAGGGCATATCTTGTGAGGTGGCTTCAAAGTCATGGTTCAAGTTTAACTACTCTGTGATCTTTCATTTAGAATTAAGTAAAATTAACATAAAGAAAAAACAATTACATACACCAGTTTTATCATATTTGAGAGGTTAGTCTTTTGTCTTTTTTTTTAATGGGGATTGAACTCAGGGCCTTTGCACTGAGCTACATTCTCAGCCCTTTAAATTTTTAAGACAGGATCTCACTGTTTCCCGGCTGACCTTAAATTTGATAATCTACCTGCCTCACCCCAGGTGTGAACCACCATGCCCTTCCAGTCTTTTGTTTTTAAAGCCATTATGAGTGATTACATGGAGCAACAGATGCCAAAGAAACTAACCTTAACCATCTTGTCCTCTTCTTCATCCTCACAAAACCCTTATGCAGTTGAACTGTGAGAATTACTTTTCTTCCCTTTTCGTAATGCCCCCAACTGTTTGTCTCATGAAACATATATCCTGTTGTTCATCCTGACTAGTTCACACTGTGAGCAAGTTATGACTAAAATTTTGTGGGATCTCTCTCAATCCTTCTCCAGAGCTTGCTATCTAGGCTATACTGGCTTAGAGCTCTATCCTCCTATCTTAGCCTACAAAGTTTCTGGGATTATAGGAGAGTGCACCATGGCGACTTAAAATTTTGAGTGTTCACAATTTGAACAGTTGTTCTGTGAGAAAATTATCCATTTTCATTGTGTATCTTGGCTGTATTCTGGTACCTTTTAAGAAAGATATGCCTGGGTGTGGTAGCACATGCCTACATGAGGTTCACAGTGAGTTTGAGGACAGCCTACTATATATAGTGAGATCCTGTTTCAGAGAGAGGGAGGGAGAGGAAGAAAGAGAGGGAGGGAGAGAGGAGAAAGATATATTCATCTAAATGTCTTTTCCCTCCCTGGTACTAGAAATTGAGCCTAGGGCTATCACACTGAGCTATCAGCCCCTTCCCTCTTTTTTTTTTCTTTTTTTTTGATGGGGGTGTATAGAGTTTTGCCAAGACTGTAAATTGCCCAGACTGGTCTAAAATTTGAGATCCTCCTGATAGCCTCCCAGAGTATTGGGATTTATAGTCATGTGCCACCAGGCCCAGCCCTAAGTATCTTGGATTCTAGAATTTTTACATTGATTGCTTGAAGACTTGTAATATTTTTAGATCTCCTTCTCAATTGAATGATATTCTTTTGTGTAAACTGACTTCTAATCAGATTATACTCAATAATATTCATTAAAAACTTCTTTTTTTGTGTTTTGGTTTTTTGAGACAGGGTCTCACTATGTAGGTGAGGCTGACCTGGAACTCACTGTGTAGTCCAGGCTGGTCTCGAACTCACAGCAGTCCTCCTGCCTCAGCCTCCAGAGTGCTGGGATTATGTGTGCCACCACACTTGGCTTAAAAACTTTTCTATCAATAACTAAATTTAGGGCTGGGGATTTAGCTCAGTGGTTCTTCTGCCAGCTTCGCAAGCACAAGGTCCCGAGTTCTATCCCCGTACCAAAAAAAAAAAAAAACCTAAAAAACTGAATTTAGAGTTGTATAATGTTTTCTTTTTGTTGTTGTTGTGGTTTTTTGTTTGTGTGTTTATTGAGATGGTACTTTGTAGTTCAAAATGGCCTTGAACTCTCTAGCCCAGGCTGGCCTTGAACCCTAGGCAATCCTCCCATGATGTAAAAGGAGAGATGGATGTGGTAACGCATGCCTATATTCCCAGCATTTGGGAAGCTGAGGCAGGAGGAATGCTGCAAGTTGGAGGCCAGCCTGAGCTAATAGTGAGATTATCTTTTAAAAAAATCTTTAAAAAGAAAAAGAAGAGAGGGCTGTAGCTCAGTGGTGCTGCACCTACTTAGCAAGTGCAAGGTCCTGAGTTTGATCCCCAGTAAAGCGGGGGGGGGGGGGGATTGATTGATTTAGTTTGGCTCATGGTTTCAGAGGGCTGGCCCCAAGGCAGGATCATCATTGCAGAAGATGTGTTAGAGCAGAGCTGCTTGTGACAGCCAGGAAGCAGAGAATGGGAATAAGGCCAGCAAAGAGATCCATTACCTAAAGGCAGCCCCAGACTCCTAAGCCTGTACCCCGTTCCTAAGACCACATTCAACTGAGCAGCAGTGCTTTGATTGATGAGCATAGCATCCCCGAGGTCCAGTCACCTCATCTACCCATCTGGTCACAATAACAATTAAGATTAACTGACACAGAAAGTAAGAGTACAGGTTGTTGATTTTCCCATGTGTGTATGCATTTTTCCCAGTGCCATTTATTGAAAGACTGTCTCATTCCTAATGAATATTCTTGGAATCTTTTTTTTTTCTTTTTCTTTTTTGTCCTGGGGATTGTGTGCATGCTAGGCCAGTACTCTGCACTGTGCTATATCCCCAGCCTATTCTTGGCATCTTTGTCAAAAATCTGTGGCTGTAAATGTAAGGGTTTATTTCTAAGTTCTCATTTCTTTGCCATTAATCTACTTAACTTTTTTTTTTTTTTTTTTT